AAAAACTGTGTTATATTAACTTTCACACCCAATACTCTCCCTAAAATAACTTCAGAAAATCTGAAATTGATTTGTCATGCATTAATTTCATTCTACTGTTTCAAGCATATGAAACACACCAGGAATGGATCTCACATATCCACAGAATAATTTAAAATAAAGAGAAAAGGGGGTAGATAGGGAGAAAGAAACGGAGAAGGTAAGAAAAAAAGAGAGGAAAGTGAGAAAAAACACAAAGTAGGAAGGGAGAGTGGTGGGAAGGCTGAACTGTGTGAATACACAGCTTTCTAAGGCTGGGTCCCAAGATCCCAATTCCTAGCACCTCAGTCTCTGTGGTTCGGTACTAGTAACTTCTCCAACCTGGCCTCAGACTTTCAGCTGGAAAATGAGGCAGCTGGCCTGGATCAGTGCCTTATCCATTTTTTAAAAAAATCACTGATTCACTCAGTAAAGTACTGCATATCTGCTCATAGCAATAAACTGAAAGGTTTCTTTCTCCTTTATGTGAGAGGTGTGTGGGGTCCTGGTACTAATTTAGAGAATTCTTTACATCTCCTTGAACCCCTCATGACTGCCTGTGCACCACAGGCTGATCATGTCCCTGCACCGCAGGGCATGTTTTATTGTGAAAGTACCCCTCCCCCAATAAATGGCAAAAGATTCTTTCCAGCTGCCAAATTATGTGATGTTGCTTTGCACTTAAAGAAAAAAAATTAAACCTGTAACTCAAATAAACATCAAAACCACAAAACAGCATTTTAAAATATGTTTTCATTAAAGTGTTATCCTTAACAATGATTACTTCCAAGGTCAGAAGGAAGGACATGGAATTATTTTCTTTTTTTTCTTTATTACTTTCTTTTATACCTATCTATGTTGGATGAATTCTACTTATAATACACTCCTATGAGAAAATAAACAAATTTTTCAAAGTTTTTTTTATATTTATTACTGGCATTATGATACATGATAGTCATGGTTAGAAGGCATTAGGTCTGCCCTATAAGAACTTATACTCTGAGGAGGAATATAAAATAATTATGCCAAAGACAGAATCCTGCACTAACAGACAGGATCTATTAATATATTCATTCTTTCGCACATTCAAGTATTTGCTGAGTATTTGCTGGCTAAGTAAAAGACCTGAAACCAGATGAGGATTAAAAAGCTCAGAAACCAACCTCCAACTCCAGAAGATCCAGCCATGGTCTTACTCAAAAACAACCAGAAAAGTCTGCTGTGGAATTCTGAAGCAAAAAGAAAGGGGGTCTGCCCTGGAGCCAGGGGCCCTGCACCTCGCAGGCTGCCTCCTGTGCATGTGATGTGAGTGTAGATGCTCCCGGACTGGACCACTTGCCTGACTTACTGAGCCGGACATGATTTTGTATCTTTTTTCCCTAAAGTTCTGGATTTATGCCATTAATTTAATTTACCACTTTATGCCACTGGGGTGTTCTTGGCCTGAAATGAATCACCTGAAAATAAGCACCTAAAATGCTTTCTAGGTATATTTCTGAAAATGTTAATCTCTACCTTTCATTAAAGAAAAAAGGATTTGCTCACAGAAGAGCTAGCTAACTTTACTTCAAGAAATAAGTCACTACTAGGTGCATGGACTTCAGATGCTAAGTGTGTGAGTGCACACACACACAATTAACTTAAGAGATGGTGAAAGCTTCCAGCTGAAGGACAGTAAAGGAACAAAATACAAGGAAGAAAAAGGTTGGCACTGGGAGAAGATGGGATGCTTAGAACATATAAGTGCTCCACGGCTAAAAGTGGAGAGATTGATTACAAAGGAGTTAATAAAGTTTAAAAGGGTCTAGACAGTCTAACACTCTTGAACCACAAGTTTAAGATAATGTGAAAGCATTATTAGATGAGAGAAAGGAAAGATTACAGTGATAAGCAAACAATTAAAAGTAAGTAGTGACAAGGGAATAAATAGGATTGGAGAGAGCAAAAAGGAAAGCCAGGATTATTGTTTCAGAAAAACAATTCAGCAACGAGGCTAACATTTACTGAAAATCTTAGTGTGTTAATTGATGGACAACGCTCATATTCAGAAAAATATGTTCCCAGTTCTGATCTAAACTAAAAAAGTTCCAGAACACTGTTGTCTGACTGTACCTTTGTCTAGCATTCACAGACTGCATGATGCTTTTGAGTTATATGCTGATAAAAAATGTCGGAATTATTTCAAATGTTGCATAGAACCACAAATGTTTCAGAAGAAATAAAGCATTATTCCTAAACATTGGCAACAGTATTTCTGTAACAGAAAGCATGCAGATGTTCCGAGTACACTTTTAAACCAGGAGCATGTGTTGACATTTAGTTAGACTTCATTCTTTTCACCTACATATGAACTCAAATTTGTCCCTTTGTCTCCTATTTTAAGGGAGATTTCCCAAGATAAAAATACTGCCCTGGTTTGTTTTTTTAAAAAAGATCTGTCCAAATGATAAATATCTTTGACTGCTTTAAAACTAAGTAAACAAGCACTGGGTTTTAACCTGGAAAAGAAAATTTTCAAATATTCCCTTTCCCTGATGTCGGCTGCTACCCATGACCTCTGTTGAAATATTCACAACAAAGGTCACAGTGCTCCCCACCCTGCCAAAGCAATAATGCAGTGGGAAAGAGCAGAGGCCCACTGCATTATTCTCAATCTCTTCTGTAACCTACCCCATGACCCCAAATTGTAACTGTATATAAACCTACTTAAGGTTTAAAAGAAAAAAAGAAAAGTGGAGCAGAAAGATTTTGTTAAAAAATGGGTTTTAAAAATCTGTGCCAGAATATTAAGCAACCTAAACTTCCTTTTCAAACTAACTTGGAGTTTCAGAACTAAGAACAGTCTCAATGTTTGGGTATGTTTTACCTAATCATAGGCACAAGCTTTATACTCTTTAATTAGGGTCCAAAGACATTGTTAGGGAGTAACTATGGCATAATTAAAAGTTATATTAGAGAAAGCTACACTTTATTAGACTTGACTACTTCCCAGATCAAAAACTAAACCAGCATTAGGACGGCGCTAGTATACATACATCATTTCCTTTGATAATCTCTGAACCAGAAAAAATCAGATGCTTACAAAGACAGTGATCTTCTCAACAATTTCTGAACACTTTCAAAATCAACCAATATTTAACTCTAACTTAATGAAAGAGACAACTGAGTTTCCTTAACACTGTACCCTATTATGTAAACTGGATTACCAAACACTCTATTACATGACATGAAAGCAAATCACGTGTTAAACTCCAGAGTTTAGCAACAGAAACATCATGTATTTATAGATTAAAGTGTTTGTTGCACCCCTTGAGAATGAATATACTAGAATAAATCATTTGTGTCTTGGTTAGAAATCAGAAGACCTAAGAGTAATATAATTGCATAGGCATAAAGTGAGTTTCAAGTTTCTTCCAGGTCACTGACAGGCAGAGGGAGCTGGGCAAAATCACAGCACCGATTCTTAACTGTTAAAGTTGCGTTGGAACTCTAATCCCCAGCCTAGGCATCACCCACCCTTAAGGAAGCACTGCACCTACTCAAGTGTCACTTTCCCTACAGCAAAGACACCAAAGCCCCCCTCCCCCACACACCCCTCCCCCCACAAACACAACTCAGACCCAAACGGCTAAAGGTATACAGAAAATTTCAAAGACTAGGACTTTCAAAGTGTAAATCTGCCCTTCCTATCAATGTCAGGCTCCCCAGTCTGGAGTGTGCTGTGAAAACTACATTTACATGTGAATGCCATAATCTTCACCAAAGCTAGGGTGGGAACTGAAGGGTTGAAAAGTACTAACATCAGGATTAGGGCCTAAACTCTAACATCCTTCAGAAACAAGAGGACAAGCCCAGGCCCAGCCCAACCCCATTAAAAATTCCACACAAAACCTGTGACTCTGTGTCCTAGTGTTTGGATCTCTGGGAAACAAAACAGTCAAGCTTTCTTTTGATTTGGGGGTCAACCTGAAGACCCACAAGACCATCTGAGTCAAATCAGTTGACAAAGAAACATGAAGTTTCAAGAAAGCCAAGTTTCCTCTTTTCAATTCTACATTCCCAAGGCACCTCAAGCCACAATGCACGCTTGAAATAGATGACAGCCACAACAAAGACAACCTTTGCAAACCCAGATAGTACTCTGGAACTTCTCTGCTTCCTAGGGACAAAGAACAACTGAAGACAACTGACTAAAGGTTAAAGTGATCCAGCAGCACCCAGGATCTCAATAAAAAATATGTAGGTCTTGGAACAGCTGATGGAAACAAGGGAAGAGAAGTCAAAGGAATACTTGCTGGTAGCCAAGACAGGTCACTACTAATCAGGTTTTATTTTCCTGGACATCTGTACAAGGAACCATTAAAAAATCAAGGACACCGTTTAGTCCCGTTCCCCTTCGCTCAGTGCTTTCTGTAAGAAAATGCTTATACAGCTTCCCATAAGCTCGCCGCGCTCGCTGGGCAGTGCCAAGACTAAACTTTTAAACCTTGAGGAAGGTGGGAAAGTCAGCCAGCCAGACGCTGGGCTAGGAAAAGTAGAGAGAAGGAGGGAAAGAGTCAAGTTTCAAAACAAAGGCTCCACTAGGAACTGAATGTCAAACCCTTCCCGCGTCCAAGCCTTCAAGTCAGCTATGCTGGGCCTCGATTTTTAAGAACACAAATAAATCAGATTTACCCAGTTCCTTGTTCACCAGAGTATTTGCACAACCACTTGATGAGGGTGCTGCTATCCTCGCCCCCAACCCCCACCGCCAACAATCTCCTTACGCAGGGTAATACTGAGGCTTACAACGTAAGTGATTTGCCCAAGGTCTCACAGTAGAGCCTAAATTCAATTCCCTTCACGTCCAGGGCAGGCCAGCACCAGGTGGGCGACGAGCGACCGCCGTGGGGTCCGAAGGGACGACGCCCCTGCCCAGAGCGAACCCAAGCTGGGAGAGGGGAGGGGCCCACGCGCGCTACGTTACACGCCCCGGCGCCTACCTTCCTTGACTCCAGGCAGCTTGGACTGGTCGATGCTGACTTCAGCCATGATGGGCCGGGGTCCTCGCTGCCCCTGGCCACCCGCTTCCCCGCCGCTGGCAGCACGGAGCTCGGCCCTCGCGCAGCAGCAGCGCCAGACGCAAATCCGGCCGGCAGCGTGCGCGGGCCGGGAGCAGGGAGAGGGGCAGGGCAAAGGCTGGCGACAAAGGCAGAGGGAGACCGGCTCTGCCACCACAGGCTGGCGGCCCAGCTGCCGCGCCGCAGCCACCTGCTCCCGCGCCCCCCGCCCTGATCAATACCAAATATCCGGAGCCCGGAAATGGACTCGGGCCGTCCAGTACGGAGGGAGAGAGGAGACAGAAAGGAGGGCGGCGGGCCTGGGTGGGGAGGGGCGGGGAGGGGAGCTGCAGGTCTGAAACCGCAATTGCGAGTGGCTGGCTAGCGAGGCGCGACTCCCGCGGCTGCCACCCAGCTGTTTCCTTTGTGCGGTGTGACGCGCTTGAGGCCGGGGCCCCGCGGTGCCCCCGCCCCTGCGCCCTGCGTCTCGGCCGCCCCAGGGTCGCGGCTTCGGTGCGGGCTCCGCGTCCTGAAGGCCTCAACGGAGGGCCACACGGGTCACCCAGAATATAATCGTTACTGTCAACCGTGTATTTAATATTCTGTACTCTGGTTTTGGGGCTGAGATTTCCACAAATGCGTGCTGTGTGTTGCTTTTATATGTGGGCATAAAAAAAATCTGCAACACAGCGTACTAGAACTAGAGAGCAGCTGAGAAAAACGTGGGCCAATTCACACCAGCTGGGAGAACTGAGTCATTCATTCATCAGAAACGCACGCATGTCTACCAAATGTGAAGTTGGGGGCTGATAAAAACATGTGTCGGAAATCTCTTTTTTTAGGGAATGTCACACATTGGACTAGCGTTGTGACATTTTAATCCTCCCCTACCCCCCGCGCCGCCCCGAAATGGGCAACATCTTCTGTCTGCCATCTCCTGGCAACAGAATTCTTCGGCCCTATGGAAAATCCGCCCCTATAAATGGCCTCTCTCCGAAACGTGTGTAATCATAGCCTTGAGAACCTCTAGCCGCCGCCACTCTTCCTTCCTCCCCCACCCACACTCACTTTCAACTAAGGATGGGTGTGTGTGGCCAAGACAGGTCAAGCAGAATACCCGCCTATGCCTATTGTATAAACTGGAACAGATACACATTCTACTTCCTGTGGGGAAGGTTTGCTTCCACGAGTAGACGGTGAAGCCAAACAAACTGTTGACAGAAACGAAGGTAAGAGAAAGATGAACGGGACATGTTCTGCTGGTACAACAGCAGCGAACCAGAACCAGGAGGCCCCAGGAGCAGCTAGGGTTTCTGCAGCTCCTGGACTCTGATACATGCCCCTCCCCCGCCCCCACCCCCGGCATCCTTTCAATTAAAAAATTTAAACTAGTAAAATTTAACAACCTTAATAGAGTAAAAGTTGATTTTTTCCGACACTCAACTCAGAGTCCCAATATGAGAGGCCACATTAAAGAGGTTTTATTTGCACTTGACATTGAATAAAGCAGACCCAAGCCTAGCAAAAAGTTAGAAGGCTTTCTAGGCCACAGGGCTCACAGGTCAAATTCATCCCACTGGATTTGAATGACTGTTTTTTTATGTGTATATGTGATCACTCTTCAAGTGATTATATAGATACAATATTTCAATTTTGCCACAAAGTCTAAAGTACATACTGTTGGACCCTTTTCAGGAAAAATTTTCTGACCCCTGTACCAGGCAAAAAGGACACCCTGTAAAATATGTAAGTAGGAAGGAGGCAATATTAAAAAGGTACTTTTATGGGGATTTTTAAGTTCCCCGTATTCGCATGACTATTACTTTTAAACTTCTTATGGTCACAGAGAGTATTTATAATTGCAGTATTTTCTGTTTCCCTCCCCAAACCCATTGTCTCCACTTCTGGGTCATGCTCTGCCCTGGGTGGCTCACATGAAAGAAAACATGACCAGGATCTCCTTGCCTTGTGGCTTCCTGTTGAGTTAGACCAGCACAAAGCACTGGCAGCGGACCAAAACAAGGGAGGAGAGAGGTTTCAGCACCGGTATTCCACTCCCCCCTCCTGAGGCTAGGCCAACATTTTGCCCATACAGTGTTTCTTTACCTACAGTTCCTTTGTAGAGGCCTCTTTTCTGTGCCCCCCCCCCCATGGGTCTCTAATACCATTTCCTTCCAGTGCCCTTTCAGGCCTAAGATGATAATGTCTTCTCACTCTCCCTGGTAACCTTGATGTATCCCAAACCTCTCTAAATAGTCCCTTCATTATATTCTTTTCATTTAAATCGTTTTGAATGTGGCTTCTATTTCCTGCAAAAACTCTCATATTTAAAGATATGCCAAAGAATCACAGCTTTGTTTTCCTTAAAAATTCCCCTCATTTCATGATTTCCACAAGGTCATAAGACCTATCCACCTATCCATATGATCTCCACTCCCCACTCTCCTATCATTCCAATTATAATTTTAGCCCAATCAGTCAAAAAATAAAGCTATTTTTATTGGCTTTAGCAATGACCTCCATGTTGCCATACTGAGAAGTCAATTCAGTCCACCTTTTATTGGCTAATTGTAAGCATGTAATAGACATGACACTACCTGCCTTCTTGAAATATTTTTTCTTTTTCATAATGATTGCTTATCTCATTTATCTGCCAGGATGATTCTAGACCACTGGCCACATTGTTAAAAAGTGACCTAAGTCAATGAAAATTCAATTTGGGGATTCTCTTGGATCATGGTACCTGCCAATTATTGCAGATATTTAATATAGGCTAGCAACTCCACCCAAAATCACCCTAACAGGTTGTAAGGAAAGTAAGTTTGAAACCAAATTCATAGTTGTAGATATACATACACATATTTCAGCAAGTAGGTGCAAAAAAGTCATAAACCTGCTCTGAAAACCTGAGAAAGTCCCAAATCCTTATCCTTTTGTGGGCTTTGACTGTATGGTCCATTAAAGAATCATGCAAACAAAAACATTAGTTTGGAATTATGCAGTGGACTCCACTGCAAAAGTAGCATGACTGACATCAGAATACAGGTCAGAAACTAATAAAATCACAAACTTAAAGTGATAAAAAGAACAAATACCTTTTTAGGCATTAAAAGAGAGCACTATAAGACCAATATCCCTTAGAAAGATAGATACAAAAATCCTCAGTGAAATATTAGTAAATCAGATCTAGAAATATATAAACAGAATAACACATAACAACAATTCAGTTACTCCCAGGAATGCAAAATTGATTTAGTATTCAAAAATCAGTCAATGTAATTCAATTCAACCTGTTGATCATCTCAATAGGTATTTGACAAAATGGAACACCAATTCACAATTTAAAAAAAAAACTCTCAGAATACCAGAAATAGAAGGAATCTTCCCTAATATAATAAAAGGTATCTATGAAAAACACACAGCTTGGTGAAATATTGCACTGTTTTCTCCTAAGACTGGGAACAATAAAAGGTAGACAATCTCCTTAATTTGATTCAGCATTTTACTGTGTGACATTCCCCAGCGCAACACAAGGGAAGAAAATAAAGTGCACTTTGACTGGAAAAGAAGTTAACTATATTTAGATTAGATATGACTTGTCTAAATAGAAAACCCAAGTTCTCTTGGGCTTTCTGCAAATTAACTATTAGAAAAAATAACTTTAGCAAAAGCATAGAGTACAAGGTCAATCATCAAAAATTAACTGTATTTCTATATACTAGCAACAATTAAAGAATAAAATTTTAAAAAATCTATGCACTGTAGCACCAAAACATACAAAATTCTTGGGAATAAGTGTAACAAGTATATGTAAAGTTTCTAATCTGAACATTGCAAAATGTTGCTCATAGAATTGAAGATGATCTAAAGTGAAGAATTATTCTGTATTCATGGGGTGGAAGAGTTAACATTGAACTGTAGATACAATGTAATTTCATCTAAAATTCTAATGGGCTTTTTAAAGTAGAAATTGATTCTAATATAGAAATGCAAATGATTAAAATGGTCAAAACAACTTTGAAAACAAACAAATTTGGTGGTCTTACACTACCTGTTTTTAAGTGTTCTTATAAAATTACAGTTATCAGGATAGTTTACTATTGGCATAAGAAAATAATTCAGTGGAATGGAATAGAAAATCCAAATGTTTATATGTCATCCAAAAATGACATATATGCATTAAGTTGAAAGTTACATATACATGTTGAAAGATGCCAAGGTAATTCAATGGGGAAAAGTCTTTTCAACAACTGAAGAAACTGGAACTCATACATTACTGCTGTTAATGAAATGTTACAACTGCTTAACTGCTTGATAGTTAATGTGAAATATATCCTCCTATTACCCTTCACTTCCTGTAAAAATGCGGCCTGCAAAGAAAACACCACCTTGCATTTGTTTTCTCTCTGTCTCATTTTCCTTTCCTCTTTATTCCTGCTGCTCTTACACTTCCTAAAATGTGCTAACTGTAGTAAATTTTACCACAAGTTCTGTTTTCTAATGGCCCCAGGCAAATATAACTGATACAAAGATTGACCTTCAAAAGCCAGTCCTCAGGATAAGATTTTGGTATTAGATCACTCATTTTCTGGAAGCCAAAACAACTCATTCCACTGCTTTATTATTAAATGGAGTGGCAAAAATTCCTGGCTTGTAATGGAATAATAATTATTAAAGCTTTCCCTCACCTTTGGTTAAGCAGAAAGAAATGTAGATGGAAGGGAGGGAATGTGGAGGTCAAGTGGCTGTTATACCTGCTCAGTACGGAAGTATTTGTAATTACAAAGTTGCAAGAGCTACCAAAAAAAAAAGTTCAGACTTGATGGTTCTCCTAAAACAAAGGAAAGGAATATGTCCCTGGGGTCTGGCATAAGGATATTTGGGAGTTTAAGCCTTCTAAATTCCCTGATTTCTCATTGTAATGGGATGCATAGCATGGGTCCCCTGATAACAGGGAAACACCCCAACAATCATGGCAGGATTGTGGGAAGAGAACAGCGGAAGATACAGCATTTTAAGGCACATTGCATAATAGAGGCAAAATTAACAGCCACACCCTTCCTGAAGGGAAGAATTGTGTGTGTGACTATGAGAATGTGCGGTGGACTTGCGACATACCGGGGGGCAAGGGCAGAAGCCCTCACGATGCTGTGTGTCACTGAGAACTCTTGCCCTGACTAAAAATGACAGCCAAAAGAGGGTAGAAGACACTGGGGAGCTGACAAAAATGGTGGACACTAATGCAC